TATTATTTGTAGTGAAATCAGTTTAGCTCACAAGCAAGAGAAGATCCTCTGCTATCCGTCTCCATACGTTATCTTTGTATTCATTATCTTTGTAGTTTTTATCATAGATAACTGAATTCGCTGAAACAAATTGGATTAAGCGGTCCGCCATGTTGAATTTGACGTGTCAACAAGCTGCATTGTGATTGGTCAGAGGTGCTGCCGTCGCCACGATGAGTTGGAAAAATTGACCCGGAGGCGAAAAAAATTGGCGGTGTGCAATGTATCATTGACAAGTTATTGGTTCGAAAAATATTATTGACGCACAAATAAATCGCGCGTTAAATTCGCGTCTGGTGTGAAAGGGCCTTTACTCTGAACATACACAGTAAAGATGTAGGTTGCAAAAAACTGAGATAAAGGAAGCTAAAAAAGCGGCAACAACAAGGTGCAATACTAGCATCATCATCATGATTGATCCCTTTCATCTTATCGCACAGTATAAACCTTTTCTCTTATTACATAAGACTTCATAAACAGTATTGCCTGGTGTTTGTGTAAGATTCTCACTAGGTCAAGATCAGTTTAATATATTTACTGTCAGGGAAAAAATTATTTGCACCCCAGCTGATTTTGTAAGTTTGCCCACTAACAAAGGAATGATCAGTCTACAATTTCAATGGTAGGTTTATTTGAACAGTGAGAGACACAGTAACAAAAAAATCCAGAAAAATACATTACAAAAAACAGTTGTACATTAATTTGCATTTTCATAAATTAAATAAGTATTTGATCCCCTACCAGTCAGCAAGATCTCTGGCTCCCAGGTGTATTTTATACAGGTAACAAGCTGACATTGGGAGCCCTCTCAGCTCGTTACCTGTATAAAAGAGACCTGTCCACAGAAGCAATCAATCCAGATTCCAAACTCTTCAACATGGCCAAGACCAAAGAGCTTTCCAAGGATGTCAGGGACAAGATTGTGGACCTACACAAGGCTGGAATGGGCTACAAGACCATCGCCAAGCAGCTGGGTGAGAAGGTGACAACGGTTGGTGCGAATATTCACAAATGGAAGAAACATAAATTAACTGCCAATCTCCCTCGGTCTGGAGCTCCATGCATGATCTCACCGCGTGGAGTTTCAATGATAATGAGAACGGTGAGGAATCAGCCCAGAACTACTAGGGAGGAACTTGTCACCAAAAAAACAGTTGGTAACACACTACGCCGTGAAGGACTGAAATCCTGCTGTGCCCGCAAGGTCCCCCGGCTCAAAAAAGCACATCTACAGGCCCGTTTGAAGTTTGCCACTGAATATCTGACTGATTCAGAGGAAGACTGGGTGAAAGTGTTGTAGTCAGATGAGACCAAAATCGAGCTCTTTGGCATCAACTCAACTCGCCGTGTTTGGAGGAGGAGGAATGCTGCCTTTGACTCCAAAAACACCGTCCCCACCGTCAAATATGGAGGTGGAAACATTATGCTTTGGGGGTGTTTTTCTGCCAAGGGGACGGGACAATTGCACCGCATCAAAGGGAGGATGGATGGGGCCATGTACCGTCAAATCTTGGGTGAGAACCTCCTTCCCTCAGTCAGGGCATTGAAAATGGGTCGTGGTTGGGTATTCCAGCATGACAATGATCCAAAACACACGGCCAAGGCAACAAAGGATTGGCTCAAGAAGAAGCATATTAAGGTCATGGAGTGGCCTAGTCAGTCTCCAGACCTTAATCCCATAGAAAATCTGTGGAGGGAGCTAGCTTGTTACCTGTATAAAATACACCTGGGAGCCAGAGATCTTGCTGACTGATAGGGGATCAAATACTTATTTCATTCATGAAAATGCAAATTACTTTATAACTTTGTTTGTAATGCATTTTTCTGGATTTTTTTTTTTGTTATTGTTGTGTCTCTCACTGTTCACATAAACCTACCATTGAAATTGTAGACTGATCATTCCTTTGTTAGTGGGCAAACTTACAAAATCAGCTTGGGTTCAAATAATTTTTTCCCTGACTGTATACAAGGCACAGAGGCAGACTTTTGAGATTGAGGTTTTAATCGGCTACATAACCATATGACACCAAATTCCTACCCCGGGGTTTTAGCATTAGTGACAGGTCTTGTATTAGACCAACAAGTAGAGAGTCGGTTACTCCCTTTTTCCTCCATCTCTTTACACAAACACAGTATTAGTGCAGGTCACAACATGGTTCTATGTACAAAAGGTACAATGTTTGTTTGATCTTTAGCCTCCTCACCTGTTTGTTATTCAGAGCAGCTTGCACTGACGGACGGTTCTCCATCTGCTGGGCCAGCCGGCGGTTGCGGGCACTGGCCAAATGCTGCTGTTGCATGGTGGCTCGAATGCTTACCGCAGTGGGCTGCTTGTTCTTCAGCATGTTAGTGAAGCTTTAGAGGTGGGAGGGGGAAAAGGGGGAGGAAGTAAAAGAAGGGGACACGGGATATGTAGAGGAGGAGGAGGAAGCAGGATTCCACATCAACTAATTTCTCTTATTATGGATCCTGCCACACAGATTCTGGTGGCATTTTTGTCATGTAAGACTTGTGTTCCACTTGCTGGCACTCACTTTCTCTCTCAATGACAATCCAGAATTATTTATACTTGAATTTAGCATGTGTTTTCAGACAAGCACAAAAAGAAAGGCAAACTAAGATAAAGAAATTCCAGAGAACTCCATAGTGAAGACAGAAGCGAGAGAAGGAAGCCAGAGGAAGAGCACAATTCGCCACTTACAGGCCTCTAGCTGACTAGCTGGGATGTCATCATGCTGCAGCATTAGAGGCCCTGGACGTGTGGCGTGCTTGGCCACCCAGCCACTTACAGCATGGACCGTGACTTGTAGATAAACCACAGAGACTCAGAGCAGGGAGGGAGAGATGGGAGAAAAAAGGGAGCTCTTTGTCACGTCCAAGCTAAGACTGAGTGTCCGGTCTATAACAGACTTGGAGCAGAGATGACAGAACAGGAGGATAAAGGAGCATGTGCTTCATTTGCACTGGTTTGAGAGAGAAAAGACTGAGGCAGAAATGACTGAGTGCTCCAATTCCCTGGTTTAGTTTAAACTTTCCTCTCCCCCTTAAGGCGTATACTTGATGTATACTGAGCTCTGTAAATATCAGGGAGCAGGACTGCCAAGGCATTTACAGGACAGTGGTCCGGTCCAGCTTTGGCATACCATGTCAGACCACTACCCTCTCCCCTTATCTACATGTGTGCACTGCTCACACAAGATATTTGGTCTGGGCAAACCCCTTCGACTCCATGTTACAATCACACTAAGCTCTGCTGAAGCACCAACAAACTCTGACAGGGCCAGCAAAGTTGAATGGGCAGTGCACACACTCAGGACAGTCAGAAAAGCATCCATGTCAGGTCCGGTCCCCAACAGTAGCCTTCCGTAGAGAGCACTAGAACCTTCACAAGCCAAGACTGGCCCTTTCATCTGGTGTGTAACTGCTGACAGGGTGCGTGGCGCCTCACCGCTCATTTAGGGACACTTTGGTGGTGCTTTTCAGGATAACTTTTTGGGAGGAGGCAGCACTCATTTTGATAAGAATTCACTTGTAGGCTCCTGGAAAAACACAGGACAGAAAATAAAAAAGGGTGTTTTCACACTTGGTCCCTTTAAAACAAACTGAACTCAGTGCTCTTTAAAGCTGACAAAAAAGGAACCACAGTTCTTATGGTGTTCACACTGAGTACATTTGAAAGAAGACTCAGTCCTCTTTCTGTTCATACTACAGTGACTGTGGAGCTCTCAAACCTTTACTACTTTCACGTCAAAGGATTACCTACTTTACTTTATCTCTTTTTATTGCGTGTGGTAAAGTACTTTTGACATCTTTTTTTCCCCCCACTTTGATGCGGCACTGCAGTGGGGTCCTAATGAAGCCCCTCACTCTCACATGAGCCGAAAACTGAAGGAAACCCTGAGTGTGTCTGTGCATTATAGACAGCTGTAGTTTGATGTGTTCTTTGTTCCATATTTGGAGAAGTGTGGTAGTTTCGTCCTTGCACCAAACCACTCATCCATATGGGTATTATTAAGATTTTTAACAGTACTACTACTAGGGCTGTGTAATTAATAGAATTTTCAATTTCGGGGCTCAACGATCACAAAAATGGTGTAATCTAGAAAAAAAACGATTATTACGTTTTTTAAAGTTATTTTGGCCTGCGTTTGCGCATCCGCACTTTCACTTTCGCTTTCTCTTTCGCCCTTCCCCTTGCGTATGTCGTATCTGATCGCATTTAAAAATCAGCGCGAGGGAAGATGGCAGAAAAAGAGCAGCCACAGAAACCTTTGGTCAACAAAAAAGGTAGCAGAAATTCTGTTGTCTGGGAACATTTTGCATTCGAAGAAGCGGATGTGGATAAAAAACATAGTACATGCAAGATTTGCTACGCAGTTGTGTCGGCACCGGCTGGGAACACCACAAATCTTTTCAACCATTTAAAATTCAAACACAGACCGACATATGACCAACTAATAAACAAACAGAAGGACAAACATCCTCCGCAACACAGTCATCAATTAAAGACACGCTCTTCAGTGCAACTCCGTATCCATCCAGCTCAGAAAGGCACAAAAAATAACAGATGCCATTGCATACTTTTTAGCCAAAGACATGTGCCCTATAAGCACGGTTGAGAGCGAAGTATTCAGAAAAATGATAAATACTCTGGACAAGCGTTATGCTTTGCCATCTCGTCACCATTTCACAAGAGTTGCTCTGCCTGCTTTATTTGAAAAATGCAGTGCAGAAGTGGCTAATGAAGTATCAAAAGCAGAGTACTTCGCCACCACAACAGACCTATGATGTAGCCGGTACTCCTATCAGTTGTTTTTATACTTTTAAGTAAAAAAAAAAACAAAAAAAGTTGTTTTGAACAAACTACTAGACTATAATGTGATTACTGGGAACCCGCCCCCCCCGAATATAAGATTTTCTTTGAAATCATTATATCCACCATGGTCTGAATGCTCTCAAGTGAAACTGAACTTTTGAACTACAGTTCATATGAGGCTTTGAACATTACAGATTTAATTTATGAATGAACCCACAACAATCAGCTGGCTAATGGTTATTCTGATTCATTAACCCATATTTGTATAAATTTGCTACCTCCATCCTACCTGGGCAAGGACAGAAACTATGAGCTAGTTGATGAAGCTAGTTTCTTCATCACGGACCTGCAATTCTCCGTGATGAATTTTCACTAGATATTGCTGGTGTTTCCGCCCTTACATGCAAGTGACTAGAAGTGAACCTGGAGCGTCGCGTGTTCACAATGCATAGATTAAACAAACCGCATTGTGGACATGAAATGAACCGAACTGAGACCACCTCACGAGGGTCTCGTTTCAGAGGGGTCTGAATATGTTTGAAGTGTTCACATTCATGCAAAAAATGCTGACGCATTGCTCTTGGGTCATTTTGAGGACTGAAAGGGACCACGTGTGAAAACCCAAATTCAACTGGCAGGCAATATGAGAAGTATAAGCAGACTGTGATGTCTGAGTGAAAATTTGAATCACCATTAAATGTATGACACTGAGGTCTTTTTAGTGATGATATTTCTCTAAGCTTAACACACTAATGATGTAATAAGACTGATTTTGATGACCTGCCGTGCAACTATGGCAGGTCCTGGTTCAAGCAATTTAAGAGAAAATGTAAAGTAAGTAGGCTATACGTGCTATGAATTTTTATTATTATTATTTTTATTATCAGACATTAACCAACTCCTTCTGCCAACCAAAAACTATGATTAAATAAGTAATGTCATCCTCATCAAGATGGTGGCGCCTGTGCAGTAACCAGGCCACCGGGTAGCTAAGGACAGGCGATCAACAGCTGACTGGTCATATATCACAGATGGATAAACACTAGAGAGTCTCGACAGACAGAACAAGTGTTTCCTTCTCATGTGCTATGAAAAGAGACGGCGTTTTGATTTCAATCGAGCCAGATGGTTCAGTAACATTTTTGCCTTGATTTGCTTCGTTCTGGATGAAGCCGTGTTAGTTATGTTAAACAAGCAACACAGGGTTCTGGCTAGAATGAATGACTCGATAAGCAAAGACGCATGATTCAATTTGCCAGGCTCTTAGCTATTGCGGGGAAGTGTTACACTTTCACTCAGTGTAACGTTACGTTAATGTAATAGTTTTGAGGATGCAGAGTAAGCATTTCAGTGTGCATATTTTATCCCAAAAACTGATAGCGTTAACGAAAAATAGTTAGAATTTTGACAAAACTTATTTCGGTGACCTAAATCAAATTTAGTTACATGTTTTTTTTTCTTTTTTGCTCCACTGGGAGTTAGCTGTCTAATTTTCAAAAATTTTTACTTACAGTGAACGTTGCGTGGGTCCAGAGTAAAACAGCCAGCTAAGGTCTCCAGCTAGCTAGCACTCGGGCTACCGTCGAGTGTCCTTACGTTCCTCTGTTTAGTCAAACAGAACCTGTAATATGCTAACTTTCTAACTAAACGCTGTAACAAAAATGAACACAATCTGGTTGAAGCCGAGCGTTAGCCGGAATAATGGCAAAACACTACAGAAACGGTCTCCCCAAAATGGTGCTGCGATCGTTGGGATGAAAATGGAGAGGCACTTATGACTCCCCCGTCACGATGACGTAACTTCCGGTTTAGCTGTGTTGACGGTTCACTAAAATGGCTGCAGCAGCTCCAGTAGAGACGACTTCTGGTAAAGATGCTATCGCTGAGGGGCTACTCGACCTTTTGAGGCCCGCTATCCACCAGCTTGACCAGCATGTACACTCAGTCAGGTAAATCTGGTGCCTTGTGGACGTTATTTAGCCGTCAGCAACATCACACTCCCCTGCTGTGCTAGCAATCTTACCTCTGGGAGAGTCTCGTGACTATCCAGATGTTGTTTATTGATAGCCTAGATGCTGGTTTTTATTCATATCGGTCAGCTCTTCTACAAGTTTCCCCAGCTGTTGTAAGCCTCATTGTGTTTGACGCATTTATGATAACTGGTAATAATAATCACATTCCTCAGTTTGTTTTCAGCTGCTGTGTGTACAATGTGCGATTAGCTCTAAGCCGAAAGGACTGCCTTAGTTATTTTCATGAATATTTTTCTTGAGTTTATTGAGACGATTATCTGTTTTAAAGTGAATCTGCACTGTACTGCACTTGAATTGATAAACTGCACTGCATTCTTCATATTGTATCATCTTTCCTTCTCTCTTGAACTAATGTGACTTTAATTCTTTGCAGAGAAAGCCAGGTAGAATTAAGAGAACATATAGACTGTCTGGCCACAGGTATGGTGTCTTTTAAATCATGACACTTGTGTTTTGTTAAATTTGAATAATTTGTCTGTTTCTTTATATCTTTCTTTATATCTTTCAATTGCTTTTTTAATAATAATTACATAAAGTACATTAAACAACATGTTTGCTAACTGTTGAATTGGTCTCATGTAATGTGCATTATTTGCAGAGTTATGTAGGATAAATGAACATCAGAAGGTGGCGCTAGACCTGGACCCCTATGTAAAGAAGCTGCTAAATGCAAGACGTAGAGTGGTGCTAGTAAACAACATACTGCAGAATGCGCAGGTCAGTGGCCAATCTTTTGCATGCAACTTCTTTTTTTGTTTTCTTTTTTAAAATTAAAGTAGCACTGCAAACATTTTCCATAATGATAGTGTAATCTGAAAGGCACCTCTAGCAGTGAAATACCCACAGAGAACTATCACCACTCTGCAGTTCCCCTCAGCTCTACGGAGCATGTGTTGTAATGCCCATGGCATGCTCATTTCCAGCCATTTAATGTTTAATGCTGAGTACCTCTAGATCAAGTTTGCACCAATCACAACTCCAAATAGTCTGTAATTATTACAGAATGATAAAACCCAAGAGCCTCATCCTAAAGGCATGAGGATAGTGAACGCGCACAACTCCTGCTGTCGGTATTGTGTTGAAACACATCTCGACGGGGGAGCACTTTTCGACACAAGACCAGTCCGGAAGCCAAGACAACGCATAAACAAAAAACATCAACACACAATCTACATTTTTGACACTGACAATACCTCAAATCCTACCTCACATGTTCGAACCAGAATATGAAAGTAGACAGCACGATGAACTGCAAAGGCATTAATTAATGTGAATTTCTCCTCCATAGATAGGTAAACAACAGTATATATATTGATGAAAAGAGATTTGTACACTCTAAACAAAGCGGGTAGTTGAGAAAGCCCATACAGTATATCACAGAAGTGAGTACACCCCCTCACATTTTGTAAATATTTAAGTACATCTTTTCATGTGACAACACTGAAGAAATTACTTCCGGTGCTGACAGTGATGGCAGTCGTGGTTACTCGCGCTCTCATGCGTTTGTTGTTTGTTTTCTTGGTTTTGTGCAACTCATCCCAGATTACTTTTACCAGAGAAGAACTGTTACATATCGGACAACTCACACCAAACTACCTTCCTCTGATTTTTGTGAACGATGAATGCTGTATGGACATTCTGATCGGAGGTGCAGCAGCGATATACGGGACCTGAAAAAGATGCCGCCAGCGTGGAAAACGCTCTGGTGCTTTGGTGCGGTTACGACAGAGGGGAACTCGGACCGCACTCCCATCTATTCACCTGGCTAATCTTCGCTCCCTGGTCAACAAAATGGATGAAATTCTTCTCGTCAACAAGACTAACTCTGACTTTGCACGCTCTGCTGATTTGTGCTTCACGGAGACCTGGCTCAGCAACTCGAGCGCGGACAGCGCGATTCGAATACCGGGCTTCCAGGTGTACAGAGCGGATCGTGTAAAGGAGCTGTCCGGGAAAACGAGAGGAGGTGGAATCTGCTTCTACATAAATGAAGGTTTGTGCACAGATGTCACAGTACTATAGAGGACATATACTGCAGACCTAGAGACTCTTGTTATCGACTGCAAACCTAGCTACGGCTCCTAGCAGAACTGATAACTAGCCTGGAGCTAGAACATCCCGACTCTCCACTCATTGTTCTAGGGGACTTTAACAGAGCAAATCTCACCCACGAAATGCCAAAACAGACAGCACGTCACCTGTCCCACCAGGGACAAAGTCACACTGGACCACTGCTACACAACAATAAAAGATGCCTACCACTCTGTCCCCCACGCAACCCTCGAACTCTCAGATCACTGTATGGTCCATCTTATTCCAACCTACAGGCAGAAACTTAAAGCTGCAAAGCCTGTGGTCAAAACAGTGAAGAGCTGGACTGAGGAGGCTAAGTCAGAGCTACAGGCCTGCTTTGACTGCACAGACTAGTGTATTTGAGACTGCAGCTACAGACCTGGATGAACTCACTGACACTGTGACATCTTATATCAGTTTCTGTGAGAATGTGTGTGTCCCCAAAAAGATCTTCTGCACATACAAGAAGCCCTGGTTTACAGCAAGACTCAAGCAGCTTCGTCGTGCCAAAGTAGAGGCTTACAGAAGTGGGGACAGGACTCTGTACAGCCAGGCAAGGAACACACTGACAAGGGAGAGCAGAGCAGCAAAGAGGAGCTATTCTGAAAAGCTGAAAGTTCAGGTTTCAGCCAACGACCCCTCGTCTGTGTATGGGAGCCTGAAAACCATCACTGGCTATAGAAAACCATCTCCCCTGCTGTGGAGGACTGTCAACTGGTAGACGACCTGAATGTATTCTACTGCAGGTTTGACAATCAACACTCCCCCCTCACCCTCCCCACCTCAGATCCAGCAGTTGCTCCTCCAACAATCACCACCTTTCCCTTCAGCCCCCCACCTCTAACGATCTGTGAAAAGGATGTGCGTGGCCTCTTTAAAAGACAAAAGATCAGAAAGGCTCCAGGCCCAGATGGAAAGTGTGCACTGATCAGCTGGCCCCAAACTTCATATTCATCTTCAACAGGTCACTGGAGCTGTGTGAAGTCCGCTCCTGCTTCAAATGCTCCACCATCATTCCAGTCCCCAAGAAACCCTCCATCAGTGGACTGAATGACTACAGAACTGTCGCCCTGACATCCGTAGTTATGAAGTCCTTTCAAATACTGGTGTCGGCCCACCTGAAGGACATTGTTGACCCCCTGCTGGACCCTCTGCAGTTTGCCTACCAGGCAAACAGGTCAGTGGACGATGCGGTGAACATGGCACTGCATTACATCCTGCAACACCTTGACTCTCCAGGGACGTACGCACAGGCCCTCTTTGTGGACTTCAGCTCGGCATTGAACACCATCATCCCAGACATCCTCCACTCCAACCTGACCCAGCTCACGGTGCCGGCCCCCACCTGTCAGTGGATTACTAGCTTTCTGACAGACAGGGAGCAGCAGGTGAGGCTGGGGAAAACCATATCCAGCATCCGGACAATAAGCACAGGTGCTCCCCAGGGATGTGTACTCTCCCCTCTGCTGTTTTCACTCTACACCAACGACTGCCTCTCGAAGGACCCCTCTGTCAAGCTCCTAAAGTTTTCTGATGATACAACAGTCATTGGTCTCAATCCGAGACAAGGACAAGTCAGCCTACAGGCGAGAGGTTGAGCAGCTGGTCCTGTGGTGTAGCCGCAACAAACTGGAGC